CCCCAAAACCCCAAAACCCCAAGAATGTGCATCAAATGTATGAGCAGTGATAAATATTTAGTGAAAATAAATATAGTAAAAATTCATTCTCAAAATTTAAAGATGAAGAAACTTTCGAATACCTAGTACAATTCTAAGTAGAATTTATTTTCAAGTACTGATCCAAATTTGACTAAAGCACTTGGAAAGTTTCATCATAGACAGTAATAGAGTGCTAACTTTGATAATTCTGGGCGTTAATTCAACTAGTCTTAATAGCTCCAAAATACAAGATCAACAACAGATTTATTACAGCAATAGTTTTCATAGGGATTGTAAAAAGCTATTGATAATTTCCCACCAATTGACAAGAATAGCCTCAATGCCAGAATGCCTCCTCTCTAAGTGAAAAAAAACAATTATATAAACTCAAAGTAAAAAAATATCTTCAATATACAAGATCAAGAAATTCGTTCGAGTCAGAATCAGAGATCAATAAATTTAAATAATAAACTAAGTCCTATTAAAAAGAAATCTTCATCTAAAATACAAGAGGTAAATGAGGAAAAAGAGGTAACTCCTCCTCATATCAGATTGTCAAAAGCCCGACTATAGGTAGCCAATGATGTTAATGGAGATATTGAGCTTTTTCACCAGAAACTACAGGTTCGGCTATCAAAGTAATCATTCATAACTATAAATAATCAAGGAACACCAACGAATAAACTTTCGAAAGTTGACTCTTAATACTCGAACGAAGGCATAGACTTCCTAAAAAGAGCTAGAATGTCAGTATAAATTCAAGAACCATCAGATTTCTAGAGGTCTGTGCAAAAACTAATGAAAGTTTCTGAGGACAAAAATTCAAGGTCAAAGTCAATTCATAAATTTCAGTAGCAGTTCTTAGATCCCCGAGAGTCTATTAGAATTCACATGGAAAAAATGAAATCTATTGAGTAAAGGGATATGAATAAATTAAGGCAATAATCGATGGCTAATCCTAATTTGTTTTATAATATGAGCATTCACAGATAGAGCATATATTCCTATTAAGGAAACCAACTAAATAGCAGATTTAATTAATTATCATCACAGAAATCCAATAGTAATGTTAATCTTACTCATGGAACGAAATCATCAAGAGATGAATCTGAGGAATCATCTTAAGAAGAGGAAGAACATAGGAGGAAGATGTCTATTCTCTAGCATCCGAAGAAATCCAAAACTTAAAAGAAAAGTGTGATGCAAGTTGAAAACATGACTGCAATTTTCAGTAAGCCTATTGATGAGAGGGAAAAATCAGATAAGGAAAAGATAGTACTATTTCTAAGAAACGGAGTAAAGTTTCTTGAGCCTATATAAACTTCCCTGCTCTTTCTACTATCAGACAAGCTAGAACCTGTGTCATTTAAAGAAGGAGAAGTTAGTAAGATTAAAATAAAGACCTTCATAATTTTTTAGTAATAACTAAGGGTGATGAGGCTACATGCATGTACATATTATATGACGGGGCTGTGGATATATTTTCAGATGTTGATTGCAATTAAAACAATAAAATAGTGCATTTGACGAGTAATTAAGTCCTTGGTGAGAAGGCTTTGGAAAATGATGATAAAAGAGGAGCAAGTATCAAAGCTGCTGCAGATTGTAAACTACTGAGACTTAAAAAGCTATACTACAATTCTATAGTCTAGGTATTTAATATCATATTGTTATGAATTTAGGATGTTATTGTAATGTAAAAGTTCTAGGCTCTTGACTTTTTAAAAACAATTGAAATACTTAAGGGATGGTCTTTGATTAAGCTTCAAAGTCTAAATAAATGTCTCACAGAAAAAAATTACAAGCCTGGTGATATAATTTATAAATAAGGAGATGATTCTAGAGTCTTCTACATTATCAGGAGAGGTTCTGTCCTAGCCGAAACAATCATAGATATTGATGAATATAATAGATACCCAATTGTAAATAGTGATTTATCATCTAACTTTTAGGGAATTAAAACTTGGGAGATTGTTAAGAAAACTAAAAGAATTAGATACAAGGTCTACGAAATCGGAAAAACCTAGATATTTGGTCATGATGAATTAGTACTTAATATCTAGAGATAAATGACAATAAGAGCACTTGAAGAGACAAACGTACTTTATTTGAATAAGGATTAGTTTGAGGATTTTAATATAATTGAGAAAGCTGATATGTAGAAGATTATAGAGAGAGTTGCACCTGTTGATGTGGAGAAGATAGCACTTAGCATAATGAATATAAAAACTAACACCAAAATAAAGGTAAGAATTATTATTAAACATAAATTATAAAGAATGACGCTATTCTGAACGCAACTCAGATTAATTTACCGTCAGAATCTATTAGAGATGGTGGACTAGTAAAATAGTAAGCATAGATAAATAAGCTTAAGCCATGGCTTGAAAAGATAAGAATAATGCAAAAGAATAATGCACTTGTAAAGCCAGAAAATCAAAAGAGTTCAACCCTTGAAGAAGGATCCGGAACAGTAGTTACTTTAGAGGACTCAGATGATGATCAAATATAAAATGATGAACTTAAAAAAGTTAAAGTGCTTAAAGTTATCAAAGAGAAAATGAGAGTAAGCGGCAACGAGTACTTGAAGGCTTAGGAGTTTAAGAGCTCAGAATTGAAGTCCAGAGTCAGACTAGCTCGCGATCTTAGTCCTTCAGATTTTTACTGATTAATTTCAATTTTTCTATAAAATTATAGGTAAATGGATTTTAGCTTATTTTTCAATTGATATTTTATTTTAAGTTAATTCACTTTTAACATTTTATTTCATAATAAATTAGTATTATTTAAATAGCTAATGGAGGGGGATTAACCTACTAAGTCAAATTAGATAGACGCTCAAGTTTCAGTTGCTAGTAATTTCACATTATGCTGTGAGGATTTAATCAACTGGATTAATCTTGTTGATCTTAAAAAGGAATAGATTATCTCGATTTCAGCCAGTGAGACCTCTACTATCGATGCTGATGCAGTTTTGATTTTGACTTATAGAACTGAAAAAGAGCCATCCATGACTTCTCTTAAAGAAATCAAATTCAACTTATTGAAAAACGTTGTTGATTGGGATGAGTAATACAATTAGTTGCAAGAGATTCATAAAAATGAGAAAATAGAGGTCATCAGTTTGACTCACACTGCTAGAAACATAGGTCAAATCAATATCTAAATCCTATGGTACCTTACATGTGAAAATAAGATTCAATATACAAGCAAGCATTTTTAAAACACTGGAGATCTCTTAGCTCTTCTTAGCGAAGGATTAGTATATTTGAATAGTCATGTAGCTCCACATAATCTTGTAAGTTTTTCAGTTTTTGAAGATGATCATCCTTGTCCAAAACAGTAATACCACTTGGTAATCTATCACTAAGGTGAAGGAATCGCTCCATTGGTGAGACATCCTGAAGTACAAGGGGAAATTTATAGTATTGATACCATCAGTACAAGAACATGGGAGGATGCGGTCGATAAAAGTATTAAGCTAATGGAAAGCAATGGCACCTCTGAATACAAATTTTCTACCAGTTCATATAACTATTCAGTTGATGACCAAAAGTAAATTGCAGTTATTAGATGGCTTAAAGTTCATGAGGATCTTCTTGCTGATCACTCTAGAGGAATGTGCAATTGTACAATTTTTTGAATAATACCTATCATCTATATATTTAAGAAGACAATAAGATTTTATAAGTTAAGATTATTATTTACACATTTATTTATCATCAATTTATTCACTGTCAAATTAAAGTCGTTTTCCTTCTCAAATATATAGTCTTTCAATGCATTAAGTGGCCTGATCGTCTGTGCTTTACTATCTCCCTTCTCATAAATACTAGTAATCCCATTCCTGCTACAGCTAAATCTCTAAGCATATTCTAGAAATTGCTTCTCCAAGCAGCGTCACTTGACCCGAGAAGTGGATTATCCCGGGTAATAACTAATAGCAGCATTGCAAGTGACATGAATAAACCTCCATACTTCAAATTAGCAATTAACAGAGAGCCTGAAACAATCATCATGATCACTTGCAGATAAATTAGAATTTAGATAATTTGGTCAGACTATGCTCCAAAGAGACACATTACTGGCACAAATATATTCTAGGGACTATCTCCTCTAAGACAAAAAGTTCTTAATTCCCTCATTTACTAATGTTATTCCTTGAATCCTCCTTAATAAAAAAAGATGCCCTAAACTATCATTAATAATCCGAGACAGATGCGCCCGAAAGTAAATCTAAAACCCATTAATTTTTTGTAATTAATTTGAATTTAACTATTTTAGCTTAAATTTTGCTTCATGGGGTTTTGGGGTTTTGGGGTTTTGGGGTTTTGGGGTTTTGGGG